GATTACAGAGCGCTATTGGGCTAAACTGCCGCCGGCCATGCTGAGGCTTCATGACATCCTGTTTTCATGGTGGATTTGTAGGTTTCTGTTTGTCAGACAGAAGGAAGAGACTGAGAGACAGTAGTGTGTGTGTGTACTGTGTAGGCTGGAGGGTCACACACCCCATCCAACAAAGGGCATCTGTATTCATGTGCTTACTAGTCTGTGCTACTGTCACCATAACTCATTACTACTTTTCTCCAAAGGCATTCAGATGAGTCAAGGCTTTAGGAAATACACTGCCAGGAGGGACTGAAATATCTGCCAGAATAAGACGTGACCTACATTCCCGGCCGCGTGCACGAGACGGGTCGCAGACCTTCTCCCACAACTCGTCTCAAGTGTGGCTCTCGGGATTTTATCTTGAGATTAGTCAGTGTTTAAGTGGTTTTATGCTGCCATTCTGGCCTCATTATCTAAGTGGGAACTGTCACTGCCTTTAGCTAAGCTATTACTGAACTTAACTTTAAAGAGGCCTTTCCCTGCCTATTATTGGGCATTAATGGTTATCTGTAATTGCAGATGTGGCGCGGTCCAGGGGGCAGCAGAGGCGGACATCCAGAGTCTTTGCACGACAAACGAGTCCACCCCTTTTAAAGATAGTGTTTTTTCTTTTTTTGAAAAAGGCATGTAGAAACAACATGGCCTTCAGAGTCTTCAAAGAAAAACATCGAAAAGGGACAGGTGCAAACACAAGACAAGAATAAAAACAACCAAAGTTGACAAGCCATTAAAGTAAGAAATAAAGTAAAGTCATAATCTTCAATTATGCTTAACAGTTTAATTGCATTATTATTTAATTACTCATGGTAAAATACATCACATGTAGGGTTTGCTTTAATACAATAATTGGGAACCAACCTTTTTCAACTCAGGGCCTACTTAAGAATGAAACATTTTTGCCCTTATTTGGAGCAGGCTAGAGAAGGCGGGAGTTAGACTCTGACGTCACTGTCGAGCCGTTAGTGGCCGACTCCGCCTACTAAGGGCTTCTCAGCAACTCTGCAGAATCCTATGGGTGACGTCACGGACACTACGTCCATTTTTATATACAGTCTATGGTGGGAAGCCATTTCCTTGTGATACTTTTATGCCCATCAGTTAAGCAGCGGCCATTCAGGTGGTGCTGACTAAGTGTTTAATGCCTTGTGATTAACCTCAGTCATCGAATGGTCTGTCGGCCTGCTGCACTCTCTTCCCCAATTATTGGTCTTTAAGGAGAGTGAAGACGATTTATGGCCAGTGAGAGGAGAGCAGTATCCCAACAGTTACTCTGGCCTCTGGAATTAAATTGACAATTTGTAATCTTAGTCGCCTTAACACTTGTGCATGGAGAGAAAGGCACAGTCAGCCAAGCCGAGGCTCAGAGGAAATCAATTCAAAGAGTCTCTGTCTTTTTCCCCTCTCTACTTCCTGGCTTCTTCGCTATCTACTCGTTCAACTATTTCTCAGGTTGAACACTTTATTCTCCAACTCTTGCACTCTCTCCATTGCACTCCTTTCTACACTTACAGCTTTGTTTCTTGTAAGTGACCCTTTTTAGTCCTCTCTTCAACACACTCACATCTTACTTGGGAGAGATTTCCATTACCTAAGGAGGGGAACCATTTACTAGGGAATGGGCCTCATCTACTATGGCTGACTGGAGGCGTGTCTCTCTTCTGGATGTTCAGATATCTCTTTTTCTTTCCTTCCCCAGGCTCAAAAAAGACTGATGACAAGTGGGAGCAGATGTTAACACTGTGGTCCTAAAGCCCATGACATACAGTAATGTCTAGGTTTTGTTAAAGCTTATTTTAACCAATAAGACTTGATTTGGCTCTTGATTTAATCAATAAGCACTTATTCATGATAAAATTAACAGCAGATTATTTTTCTTGGCGACATTTTTTGTAGAAATGCACTCTGATAAGGTGTCAATCCTCAATGGAGAGTATTTTATTTATTTAATAATACACTTGGTTTATAAATGTGGTTCTTTACACTGAAAAAACTTAAACATTTACTTTAATCAAATGCAATATGTCAACAGGTTCCACATAACTATATATGGTTAGTTGAAAGAAAAAATATTAAGTTGAACCTAATATTTTTTTATTTAAACTTAATATTATTGCTTTCAACTAACCTAATACAGTTATGCCAAATCTGTTGACATAATACATTTAATTCAAGTCAACGTTTCAGTTTGTCAGTGTAGGACTTTATCCGAGAACAGGTCAATAATGAACAAGTCATTATGGCCAAACACACTCAAACAATAAGAAATCTAATGAGTTGCTCTACAATACTTTGAAGATGCAAAACATGTAATATTTAACAATGTCATGTTTATTGGGATTTGCATACCTTGCATTAACATTGTCACCAAAGGGAGATTTATAAAGACTTGATACAAAATTAAAAATGTTATTGGGGTGCTTAAGTTGGAGGGCTGGATATTTTACGGGTCCTAATACAGATCACAGGAAAGTGCAAGAGTAATGAAAAGACAGCATTCAGTCGTCCGGATTGATCTTATTTACATTCAGAATCAAAACACATACTTTAACAAAACATCACATTTCTCAGAGTAGCAAGTTCTATGCAGTGCAATACTGTGACAAAATCCTACAATAATTGTATTTTACATAAAGTATATCTCAGTCTCATTTCTGTTTTCTACTTCTACTTTCTACTTCTTCTAGGTGTTGTCTGTCCACCTTTGTGTTTTCTCCCTGTTGCCCTCGTGCCTTTACCTGCCCTCAGCTGTTTCTTGTTAATGTAACTAATTAGTCCTGTCACTATATATGGCTGTCTGTCTACGTTATCTTACTCAGTTTGTCATCTTTGTTCGCTTCTATGGTCCTGCCTGTGTTCCTGATCCTGTTCCTCATGCTCTCCCTGGTATGTTCAGCTTTTCTTTGTTTTCTTTTCACCTTGCTTGGTCCACCTGTATTTGTGTTAAACTTATTTTTAATCATTTTTTGTTTTCTAAAAGCTCGCTTTTTAAAAAAAATCCTGCTATCCTCCTTTTACTGCTTTTGTGTCTGACTTCCTGCCAAATTCCTGAGGAAAATATAAATAATCTTTCAAATTCAATTTTAAAAGTGAAGAATTGATTTGAAGATGGCATTAGAATTTAGAAAATCAACAACATTTAAATGATTCTAGTGGGTACATACATGTATGAAGCATTGTAGCGATATTTCAGACTTTAGCAATTCCTGACACCATGCCCAAAACAGTCAGTTATATTTATTTAACTGACTGATTCTGAAAAATTCCTTACTCGCCATTATAAAATAAAAAATCACTCAAATGTACCACACATCAAACCATCCACTAGTCCACTTAACACCCTGCACAGAACATTCCTCAACTCAGTATTTTAAGATTACAAATATTCCCCTCTTGGATAAGAAACAAGACTTGACTCTTTATTCTGAAAGGATTGCATTCTGAAACGAGTTGCGTTAAACAGTCTCATGAAGTATCCACAAACGGGGAGGGGCTCACGAGGCCACACAATGACCCCAAGGTTTTTAGAGGCTTCAAATAAGTGATTGGTTTCTCTGTGTCTGAACTGTCCTACCTCCTGTCAAATAACAGAATAAGTGGCTTTGGTGTGTTTAATGACTCAATTCTCAGTCAGACTGTGGGAGCACCAGTCATCCTCGTCTGCCACACTGGCAATCATTTCCACACTGACAATCCAGGCAAATCTTCCAGTAAAAAGTTTTACTGAAATATATTAAATACATTTTTAGCAGCGGTAAAGACTGAATGTGCTAAAACTTTCTGCAGCTTATCTCTGTTGTTATAATTGCTTAGACAAAAGTGACTGTGATGGGCCTTAATAAATACTGTAACTTCAAGCCATACATTTAAACATTTTACTGTAATGTGCTGTTTGATCCAAGTTTAAACCTCAAGCGGTAATTCAATAAATGAGTCTTTGTAAAATACAAATTAAAACATTAAATGGTCAGTCAGTTAAAGAAATCATTCATTTAATTAGCAACAATTGAATGCTTAAAAGGCCTCCATCTTCACTTTGGTGCTAATTGTGTAGGTGATGAATGGAGAATAAGTCAAGTTGTTTTAATCAACACCTTGCTTGATGATATTATAACTCTAATAATGTGCAACTTCTGATCCTCAGATACAGTAGGGCTCTTTTTGGCTGGTCTTAAGTTTTGGCTAAAGTTAAATGTGACTGGGTTTTTGCTGTCACTAAAAAACACTTCACCTCATAGCCATGCGTTTGATAACTCGACAGCAAACCATAACCTTGTGCCTCTCCCTCGCCACAGATACATTTCGTGAACAGTTAACTGGGGTCGAGCAACTCCTCTTCACACCCCTTAGGTGAAGATCGGCCGGCTCAGTCTTCGGTGTTAATGTTCAGGTCAATAAGTCATGTATATTGTTCGTGGTGGAAGATGCCGGTGTTTTCCTTGTGGAAGAGCTATCCCGCTCCCAAAGTCCACCAATATATCCCAACGAGGTGCTTCTAATGACGACTAATGAGTCAGCCAACACCTCCAAAGTGTGATGACGTTTCTGATCCTGCTTCCTACCACCTGCCCCTGTCTAACAAGCATTCATAAAATAAAGTGACACAGACACGTCATAACAGTAATAGTGTGTCAGGAGCTGACAAGCTATGAAACCACATGAACAAATAAAAGACGCTTAACGACAATTCACTCCATTCTGATATGTTGACGAGTTGCTGTTTTAGCAAAACTGCTATTCTTAGTCAAACACGTGCATTATGGCTGCTATTTGATGTGTTTGTCTTGCGGAGGCAATAGACTTGAGCTCTGCCAGGCAAGACAAGATCAAGAAATGTGCGATCAGTTGGAAAAACTACATTTCTTATACTATTTATGTTGAAATCAGTTTTCAACCAAACAATAATGGTAGAAAGGTATTTCTTACATACATTATGGCATATCTTATTTTCTCTTCTCCAGGGCATTCTTCTGTACTGTAATTACCAGGCCTCCACCTTTGATATGAGGAAGCTTCCAAACCACCATTTTGAGGCCATGGACAACTTCGCAAAGTGCTTCCTGATCCTGCGGCTGGAGAGCAGTCAGGTGGAGGGGGGTCTCCACTGTGCTGAGGGGGACATCAGGGGCTGGAGGGCGGTGCGCGTGGACCTGGTGTCGCCGCCTGTGGATCGATACGCCTTCGCTCTCCTGGGATGGACTGGATCCAGAGTAAGAAGGATTGTAGGAACTGGATGACAGTGAGCAGTGGCTGCGGGTGGGATCCTTGGAAAAGTTTAGAAGTCACTGCCTTTCATGATCAATCATTGTCTTGTATGTGCCACCATCATGTGATCAAATGTTGCTCAGTCAAGAACAACGTCAAGGTCAAAGTCCAGGAAGTCTTTCATCTTTGGCACTCTGTCCAAATACACCTTCAAATAAATGTGAAAGATATAATAAGTCAATACAAAGTCATTTGCAAGTGTGCAATATTATTTTAATTGGCTGATATGAAATTACTTATTTTTACAGGTTTAAATGTAGGAATATAGATGCCATAACAACCCAAAACAGATGTTTGATTAATTGTTTTCTTTTTTTTTCTTCCACAGCAGTTTGAGAGAGATCTGAGAAGGTTTGCACAAGTGGAGCGAGGGATGATTCTGGACAACCACGCCCTGTACGACAAAAAAAAGGTATGTAACGCATCAACTTATAGCTTGCAAAAATGCAGATAACATGTATCTGACATTTGTACTAGCAGAGAGGTTTAAACAAGAAAATAATCAATACATAATTACTGTAACTAATAATAATAATAAGTCATTTGTGTAGCGAGAAAGCTTCACATTTTCTCACAATCTGCCATTTTTGCAATTTAGAGCTAAATGTATGAGTATCCACTGTAGGCTTGAAAGCATGTTTTGTTGCAATGTATTGCAATATAAAGTTAATTTGACAGAGACAGGGTATCAGAACATGGAGTGAAATCACTTCTGCAGCACTTGCAAAGGATGCATTTGTTAATTCATTATTGTTAATTGGTAGTGGATTTCGAGTTGAGGAATCACTTACAAGGTGTTTATTAGCTACCATGGCTGATGACCTGTGTGAACATGAGAAATACCAAATTCATTCGAAGGGTGTGAGATTTCTGGGTAAGGGACTGCAGTTTATTTTAAGCTTTACTTTGACACTTCTTTTTGGGTGTCAGACGTTTTCCTCTCTGTGTGCATTCATTATAATTAAGGCAAACCAGAGGCTTTTGAAACCCTATTTTCAAATACAGGCAGCTAAGACAAGTAAAGTGTTGATTTAACAAAAATCATGATAAAGCGAAGAGCCAAATGATCCAGCATGAATAGTATTTTGCTCTCTCGGACACATTGTGCCATTGCGATTACAGAGTAGAGCTGGTGCTTCTGTGATTCAATTTACAACAACGGGCAAAGCTGCGTTGATCTTACCAACGCGTCTCTGCACTTGTTGCTATTCTTTATTAAGCTGCATATAACAGTTTTAAGAGGAAGGACTCCTTCTAAAACAACCTTCTAAAATAGATATCCTCACTCTTCATGAATTACTATGACAGTGATACTTGTTACACAGATAGATATATTATTCTTAAACGTTACGTTTTTGTCCCACAACTTGTGAGCTAACAGAGTACAGCACAACACTAGCACTGCTATGCTACGCTAGCAACTGAAGGTATTGTGAAATGCTCTTTTTGCTTATTTTTTATGATTGTAAATATAGGTCTACTTTGCTTTCCACGAAATATGTTGCTGCTTAATTTGATTTCATGGTGCACGTTTAGACTATCTTTACTGATTGGCTTTAGCTTCAATATCCTTGTTTTAGCAGAGTCAGTTTCACATCCTTCAAACATATATCTTAGACCCTTATGTCTGCTTCCTTCTAACAAACCTATGGTATTAATCAGGGAGTGCAGTTTGGGCAACACGGGCACCATGGTAGTTTTGTTAGCTTGACAGACTAGTAGCGGCTAACAACAAAGGGGCGGGCCTAAGTATCAAGGGGTGATAGAGTGGTGCAGTGACGACTCCTAAAACCCGGAAGTGAGTTAGCATTTTATCACTATCGGTTCCCTGGTCTCAGAGCCAATGGGATTTCTCCATAGGATTTTGGAAAATAGCTGGAAATAAGGTCTGTGTTTGACACAAATTTAAGAGACGGATCACGTTTTGTTCTACGACATTAAATCCATCAGCAGTGACCCCACTGGTGATTTCTGAAGAGTTTACGTGTCTGAAAAACGACGGTTGTTAACAAGTGGCTGAATAGGACTACAGAAGTAGAACTTGAAAACCAGTGAAACTTGAAAACCACAAGCTCCTCTTGAATTGATCTTAAAAAGGAGAGGAGTAAATGCAAAGGCCATTCAGGTTTTTTCTACGAGTTTATACTGGGATTTGATACCTCTCCCCTCTTGTGTGCTCTTATGAATCTGCATAGAGAATTACTGCCAAAGCTTTGGCTTTTGGCAAGATTTGGGTGTTACATTTCTACAGCACGAGAAACCTGGACAAATTATCTTAAATGATTCCATGCAATATATGTTTCCACTCCGTGCAAGCAGAGAGTTGATACTGGAGCGAGAACAACATTTTTAATTATAGCACATTGCTTAGTGGGGGGTGTGCAGAGTTTGACAGGCTGGATGCTCCATCTCACACGTACATTTACAAATAAGTGCAATGTACACCAGAACAAGCTGAGGGAACACAGGCCATCTTAATGTTTCTGTATTCAAAAGCTCGTCCTTATTACAGTAAAGGTAATTGCATTGGGGAGTTTAAAGTTAATTTACACATTTTCCAATTAAATGAACTGCATCTTAGTATACACAGTGATATAAAAAACACAGCAAAGCAGAGAGAATCTTTTTACACAATATCTCATGCAGTTAAATGAACTCTTTCCTGGCCTGCAGTGCAAGGGCTTATTAGGTTTTGTTTAGGAACACATTGTCTTTGTGTGAATCCTGAACATAACTGGCCTGGGAAGGATAAAACAGTTAAGAGTCACATGCATTTCCAAACATTTGGACTACCTATGTTGCAAATGTATTATCTTTTCAATTTACACACAGCATCTATTGCACGTCTGTCCGTCCTGGGAGAGGGATCCCTCCTCTGTTGCTCTCCCTGAGGTTTCTCCCATTTTTCCCTTTAAACTGTGGGTTTTCTCCGGAAGCTTTTCCTTGTACGATGTGAGGGTCTAAGGACAGAGGGTGTCGTATTGGGAGGCTGTGGCGCAGTCGACTGGTGCGTTGGTGTTGGGATCAGGGGAGCACAGGTTCAAACCCCACTGCAGTCAGCATGTCGTTGTGTCCCTGAGACACTTCACCCCAAATTGCTCCTGTGGGGATTGCCCACAGTATTGAGTATGTAAGTCGCTTTGGATAAAAGCCTCTAACAAGTAACATGTCATGTAATACTGATACTCTGTACAAACTATGAAGTCCACTGAGACCAATGTAACATTTGTGATATTGGGCTATATAAATAAACATTGATTGATTGATTGACATGCAGTGGTATTAATGCTACTGAATTCAGTAGAAACTGGCATTTTTCAATATGAACAAATGGATCGATCTTGTCATATATTGTTAGCGGCATGGCTATCTTTAGCAACAAACAAAAACATACTTTGTGTTGCTGGTATGGAAGGAATAAAGAGTGTGCTGAGACACCATTTTAGTAATTATATTACCTTCATAAGTGTAGGTGCAACAGAAGCTATCCTCTTCGTTTGTGTGCGGTAAAACTGGCCTTAATTTCCCCAGGAGATTGTATCCACTGGCAGAGAGTGAAAGTACTGTATAGCTTATAATGAACCAATCTTAACACCAAGGGTTTCATTATGCTACAGCCAAAACCTTAACTTCATAAGGATAAGTTAAAATTAATTATTTACTGTTTTAAGATTTGATTTCATAATTATTAACCTATGTCAGACTTCTTGTTTATTATATCATTTTAGTCATTTTCCATAGGTGTTAATTAGTGATTTGAGGCAGTTACCCACCTATGAAGTGAGCAATCGGTCAGAGGTGTTGACTGTCATTTATTATAATTAGAATGTAGCTAATTAATGTAGCAAAGTTAAGAGCAGGAACAGCCATAAAGGCGAGTTTGTTGAAAAATGTTGATTAATCAAACCGTTATAGGTTTTTATTCCTGATTTGGTCAATAGACACAATTCCACTGAGCCAATTGGTCATAGGGTTTAGTGACAAGACATGTTTGCCAACAATTATGTTTATCATTTTATCAAGGATGCCCCTTATTTTGCAAATATTCTTAATACTACTCCTTTTGCTACTATTCTGTTTTCTATGAAATTCTTTAATCTTATTGGTTTTAGACAGTTCACACATTTTAAAGGCATCATCTTGCATTTTTTTAAAACTCTTTTATAGCATTTGACAGACTAAATAATAATAATTCAATTCAATTCAAGTTTATTTATATAGCCCAAAATCACAAATCCTATTTGTCTCAGAGGGCTTCACGAGTCAACAAACACAATTGACAATGTAAAAACAACACGTATCTTACAAGATCAATGTGAAAATACCAATTTAAAAAGGAACATAACACAATGACACAAATAGAGTACAATAAATACAATTCCATAAAACGAAGGGTCCATGAGGATGTATAAAAGGGGGTTTAAAACCAGTCTTAACTGTACGCTGTACTAAAACCTGCTCTTAAATGTGTGGGCACTGTCTGCCTCCCTAATCTTCACTGGAAGTTGATTCCAGAGGAACGGGGCTTGGTAGCCGAAAGCTCTAGCACCTGATAATATATAATATTATAATAATAATAATACATTTATATTTTTAGCAGTTCAAATAATTATTTAGAAAAAGTGAAAATCAGTTCTTGACATGTGTGTCATTATAGCCATTTGTACATCTTACATCAGCTGGAATTGCACAGCTTTCTGTTATCCACAGAACTCTGGTTTACAGCTATCAGACAGTGAGCTACACTCCTTGAAGCACGAAGTGTAAACTTTAAAAAAGATTGACACGACTCCTCAGCTGAAGGACTCAATTATTCAGCTCGAAAAAGTTTATAGCACTGACAAGATGACAACAGAAATTCCAGGGAAGCATCGATCTTTGTGACAGGCACATCCATACCTCGTGTTTACCCTCGCAACTATTCATTGCATCATGTAAGACGGGCCGGCTCATTTCCGATGCATAGGGCAGAGCGGCAAAGCGTTTGAGTTGCGAGCAGAGAAAGAGGGGTGTATCAGTGGGGGGATGGACAGGGGAGACACCCTGTCACCGAGGTGGTCCCGTCAGCCGTTCCCCGGGGGACAGAGGTCAGAGTCTCTGGATCACAGAGTGGCAGCTTCCTGACAGATATTATACACAAGCAGCCAACTCAGATGGTGTTTATTTAAATGCAGGGTAGAGCCAGGCATGCTGACAGTGCAGTCATCCGTGCACTGAGTGGACAGTTGGAAATCAACACACTCATTCCTACATAAACCTTGCATGTGTTTGTTGGAGTTTGATGAGGTGGTAAGTTAAGGGACGTTAAGGACTAAGGGTTTTTTAAATACAAGGTAACCAGCGAAAGAAGAAGAGTTGTGTGTACTTTGTTTTAAAGCATTCATATAATATGTCTGCAATGGCTCATAAAGA